GTGTGTGTGTGTGTGTTTTAACACGAGAATCCAAAGAAGGACTTGAACACATGGTCCCATTGTGACTGAGACTAACTTGTCTAAAGCTGTTTGTATCTGAAATGTTGTGGCAAAAAGTAGCCTTTTTTTAGTCACTTTTTTAACCTTTGTTTCCAGATTATATCTTTGTTCTTTGTTTTAGAAATCTACATGACTCATTGCCGTCTTGTCTTTACAGTAAACGACTTCAGGAGTGCTTCTCTGTCCCTCCTGGCTTCTCATTACAAACATGCTCAGCAGGATGGCCAAGTAGGCAGAGTAGAGTTCCTCCCTGTGAACTGGCACAGCGCTCTACATGGGGATGCTACTGGTGTGGATGAGTAAGTAGTAAAAGACAAAGAGTTTGAACAACAACTACAACTAATGTTTTCTCTTTTAAACAAAACAGGATTTTCTTTCTCACCCCCATTATCCAGGGACATCCAGAGGATCACCCTCCCCAGTATCAGCAGGCTGAGACATTTCACCAACGACACTCTGTTGGATCTGTTTTTCTATAACAGCCCCACCTACTGTCAGACCATAGTAGACACAGTAGCCTCAGAGATCAACAAGCTCCACGCCCTCTTTAACCAGAGACACCCAGATTTTAGTGGGGCAGTTTCAGTTGTGGGCCACAGTCTTGGTTAGATAAACACAAGCATATTTTCATTCCTAAACTTGTTAAATGTGTAAAACCAGAATTTCAGCTTCTTCCCTTCTTTTTTCTCCTCCAGGTTCTTTGATCCTGTTTGACCTTTTGACTAACCAGAAAACTGGAACAGAGATAAGAGAAGGGGTATGGTGACATTTACAGTAACTACCAAAAAACAGGTCTCTAAAAACAGGTTTTTAAAAAGTGATTTTCTTGTATGCTTTTAGCAGCGCCCTGGTGAACAAAATGAAGTGAATTGTGACACACTGGAGAAAGCTCTGTGCAGACTGGGCCTCCAACAATACGTGGACATGCTGCAGGCTGAAACCCTTGATCTGGAATCACTGGTATTACACCTACACACCATGCCATATGGCATAAGGATTTAAGTGTCTGTTGTTAAATCACACACATTTCTCCTCTGTTAGGCTCTATGCAGTGACCATGATCTGAAAGATTTAGGAATTCCCCTTGGACCTCGGAAGAAGATTCTGACCTATGTCAGACGAATGTGTCAGGTCAGGCACTAAAAAAGTTATTTTTTTCGTGTGGTACTTTTGAAGGTTTTACAACTAAATTAAAATGTTGTTCAACCAATCCTTATGGGATAATTAATATTATTTACTTGTAATCCCTCAGGTTTTGTCCAGAATACTTGTTTTATTACACAGAAATCTGAAGAAATCTTATAGAAAGTGACAGTTTCATAAAAATATCATAAAAATAAAAATAAAAAATAAAATTATCATAAAAATAGTTTGATGGGTTCTTGAAATCCTGGTGGATTTTCGGCAAGTTGTGCAGTAAAGACATAATATAGGATATTGTGTTTGATTGTGTGCGTGACTAGGATCAACAAATTTGATGAACATTCTCTGGCTATGTGTGTTATGACCATAGGAAGGAAAGGGTTGGTTTCTGGCTTCCAGTTAAGATTCTTTTTAAAACAATTGTTAACCCTGTGAGATCGGGAAGTGAAAGGACGCTGTAAGAAACAGGTCATGTTGAACGTTAGTGTTCTCTAGTTAGTATTTAGCAGCAGTGGAAAATCTCATCTCAAACTAAACAAGAGAGCAGAGCTTTAGTTCATATTTAATTTGATAGTATTTTTGTATTCTCTTCAAAAAGGTCAAGGGTCAGGCACCAGTGTTTCCACTTCAAGAGACCAGTGATCATGATGAAAGTCAGTCTCCTAAACCATTATCTCAGCAGCAGCACTTCCACAGGGCTCAGTCAGTCACCGGTGCTGTAGACTATGAATACTTTGACGTGGGCATCGGACAGGTAACTTGCATGATCCAACAGATTTAAAATCATTATTTGCGCTTGATATTAGTATTAGGCTTCGATGCATCAAATTCCTGCTTCTTTCCCTCCCGTGCTTGCCTGGACAGACCAATGGAGGCATAGCTAAGGGGCAGGTGTGTCTCATGTAATGTCCCTGTGCACTCTGGCCTTGTTCTTAGCTCCTGAGTAATCACTGTGTATTTAGTTACTCTTCATATACAGTCCACTCTGATCATTAGAAATAAAAGCTCTCTCTCTTCGACTTGTAATTTTTTTCTGTCATGTTAAGTTTAACATGCTGCAAGGTGTGTTGCAGATCAGGGTCTGCAGCTGCATTTGGGTTTCTTTGCAGTGCAAATTCTTTTGCATCCATGAATGTTTTCAGTTGTTAGCATTCCCCTCTAATTCAGGTTACAATGTACAGTTTTTTAGATCTTTAATTGCAATATATCAATTTGTGTTTATGCTGAAAGCTAAATGCTGAATGCTAATTTTCACACATTTATATATGGTCTTGCTCTCCCAAAATACATAGGAAGTGTTCATAATAAGTTGCAGGCCATGAACTGGAACACAGCTTCTATCTGTGTTCATCTAACCTTGTGTGAGTATTCAGTTCTCCTGCTTATTGCGACACTCCCTGGCCGTTTTCCTGGTTCTATAAATGTTCATCTTATTGATTTTTCTTTTTCAACATCCTGATGCATCAGAGGAGTATTATTACAACTCCCTCTCTGCCTCAGTGGATTTGCACACTTGCACTTGGAGGAAAGATGTGTTTTATCATCAGTATATAAATCAATTTCCCCTTTTTTTAGGTATGTATTGATTACCCACAGCTAGCATTCCAGCCTCAGACGTTTTTTGCATTCGGTTCTCCCATCGGAATGTTCCTCACTGTCCGTGGACTTAAACGCATCGATCCCAACTACGCCTTTCCAACCTGCAAGAGTTTTTACAACATCTACCATCCAGTGAGTGATCACATATTTATTCTGTATCCTTCTCAAAGATTAAAGTGATGTTTGTGTTGTTTGTTTACAGCATTTATGATGAATCACCTGTGCCTACGTAAGACAGACACATTCAGTTAAAAGTGATACTTTTTTTTTTTTTTGCTGTGTAGTATGACCCAGTGGCCTATCGAATAGAGCCCATGATTGTTGCAGAGGAGGACCTGGAGCCCATGTTAATCCCTCACCATAAAGGTCGCAAAAGAATGCACCTGGGTACGAATGTCTGTGTTTTTCACTTTGTGTTTTCAAGTAACAAATCACACGAGGCTGTAACATCTGTTTGTCCATGTCTTACAGAACTGAAGGACAGCCTGACCCGTATGAGTATGGATTTGAAGAACAATGTCCTGGGATCTTTACGGATAGCGTGGCAGTCATTTTCCAGACTCCCTGTCACTGCCCTGCCTCCAGTGGAGGAAGGAGAAACAACAACACAGAACAATCTAGAAGAAACACAGGGTGAGAGGATCACGTTAAATATTTTGTATGTGTGTGTATGCAGAGTGTGTTTAACACCTGCCCCTCCATATTACTCCTCCCTGCATGCTACCCACCCATCTGCTGTGTCTGGTGGTTTCTCCCCTCCGTTCCTAATTTGTTTTACTACTTTCCCTTCAACGTAAGCCTCAGTGTCAGTTGCTGCTTTTGTTGAAGCTGCTGATTTTTGCACTAAGATACTGCAGTGGCCCCGGGCCATTCATATGCATAGGTTTTAAGGTGAGCCAAAAGAACTCTGTAAACAAACTATTTTAAATGTAAGAGAATGCATGATCTGGATGATGATAATGAAAATGTTTACATCATTTCATTAGTCACAAATAAAAACAGATCTGAAACACAGACATCTACCTCCTGTTATCTGTCCTTCTGTTCCAGTGATATATTTTCACCCACATTTCCTCACAAAGAGCATGTGTTATGTAATGTACAATTAGGTAATACAGTTTTACACTGATTCCCTCCTCCTTCAACACATACCTAATTGCATTACTGGATTCCCATCTTCAACCCACTGCAAACTGCTGAATATCTCTCTTTTCCCTCCTCTGACAATCGCTTCCGATTGGTAGAAGCACCGGTACAGTATGTCAGCACCTGAGGCACCTGAGGCAGCTATAACTTAACTTAAGCAGTTATAGTATTCCCGACAGCAGGTATTTGTTAGGTATATGCTTCTACATGTCTTGTCCTTTCTTTAAAAGACCTGTGCTCAATCTGTCATCTCTCCAAAGGGGCATAAAGGCTTACAGTCAGAAGTAACTATATATTATGCACAGTTGTGGATGAACAGGAGGGAAAAAAATGCAAATATTATATAACTAACTTTGTTTTTACAAAAAAGGAAATAGCTAATAAATAAATAAAAAATGTTTTCACATAATTTTGTTCGGAAAGTGTAAATTCAAGATTGAGTGAATTTGGCTCGAGTGATTGTTTTTAGTCATGTGGTCTCACCACCTGGTGGCAGGTGCAAATAGTTCTCACAGCAACACTATTAATCAGATTGTTTTATATTGTAATCATTTCTTCTTCAACTTCTGTCTCTGCAGGAGTTTGTGAGGAGGCAGAGACGTCAATGTCAGCAGAGCAGAACCAACAGCCAGAGATTAAAGTGGGGATGTTGAACAGAGGACGGAGGATCGACTACGTACTTCAGGAAAAACCCATTGAGAGCTTTAACGAGTACCTGTTTGCCATTCAGTCACATCTGTGTTACTGGTGAGTCTAACGTGTCATTTTATGTAGCGATATGGCCTGTTGGAGTTTTGCCCTTTTCTCACATTATTTTCAATTCTTTTGTGCAATTTTTTGTCCTAAAGAAGTTGTCTCTGTCCCTCTTTGCTTTGACTTTTTTAGGGAATCTGAAGACACTGCTCTCTTGCTGCTGAAGGAGATTTATGACAACCTGGGTGTGCCCTTGGAACAACCCCAAATATAAAAGCATTTCTTTTTTTTCTTTTTTGAACTAATGTGGCAAAAATCTCAAGACGGTGAGAAAATGAAGGACAGCTGACCAAGCCAAGCCAGAAAACCTTCTCTCTGGATTTCACCTGACTCTTCCAGTAGTGGAGACTGCGTGTCTGCACTGTTGAGGTTTCTTATATTTCAAAATAATTGTCTGCTCTGATTTCAACAGGCTAGGGGCCCCTAGTTGGCACTTTAACTTTTCTTCGGGTGTTTTGTCTGAATGGTGTCAGTCCACCCAAACGCAATTGATTTGCTCCTGAAATGCTACTTTCCTTTTTGGTCAAGTCATGGTTCATCGTGTACTTGAAAACTTTGCACTTTATCTTCCAGTATAATATTAATAATCATGTTTGTGGCTGCGATGAAATGATGACAAGCAGATTACTTTTTCAGACACATAATGTTTTACATATCAACCTAAAATCATTTTTGTTGACATGCTCTATATGTTTACAGTAATTTACTTTATACTGTACTTGTACATACTATTAAAAAAGAAACATACCTATATAATTTCACATGTGTACTTGCCTGAAATACAGCATCTGAAAATCAGAAATTTTGAATAATTATCCTGCTGGTGATAAAAGAGGGGGCATTTTCTAAATGAAAGTTCAAGGGTTCAATTCTCAGCGCTAATGTGCCCTGGGACAAAAGATTTAACCTCAAGTTGCCTGATGTACGACATGTGTAAGTTCACAGTGGAGTTGCATAAGAGGGTGGTTCCTCAGTCCTGATAAACACAGTGTAACATCATTAAAACAACCTCAAAATCAAAGGTAAATAAACAATTTAAACAAAGTAAAACCTACAACCATCAGATGTAAAATGATTGAGGCTCTATTAAGGTAAAAACAATCTTTCTAGGCAGCTTAGTTTATTATTTCATAATAAATTCTATGCTGACTTTAAATGAAGGTGCAGTGCAGCCAAGCTAACAGAAATAATTCTTGGAAAAACGACTTTCAGTTGTTGTAGATATTGATATCATGGATAGGAATTGCAGGGTTTTGAAAGAAAATATCAGATTTGTTACCTCTGTGTACAGGATTGTTAGCTATTTTCTAGCATTGTAAAATGTTTACACAAGGGTCAGGTCTACGTTCAACTCCTCCACCTCTGTGCCATTCCTCCTCCAGAATCTCATTTACACCTGGTTGCAGTTGTCTCGCATCTAATACCAAGACAAAACAGAACTTGACTCAGTTGTTCAAAATGTTTTGTTTGTCTTCAGCATTTTTATGACATGTAGCTTTTGGTGTCCGAGCAGTTCCTGAGCACCCTCCTGGTCCTCACTTGTAAATAACCAGCGGGCTGTATGCAAATTTAATAATAAAGAAATAATGATGTTTAAAGATTATGTTTATTTTAGATAAAGACATACTTTAAATATTTAAAAATCATATATCCATATATAATATAGAATGTATCATATATACCAAGGCATTAAGTCCAGAATAAGAAGGTGAGACGCTCTCCGTCAGTTAGTTTAATACATAGTCGACTATGTTGTGTGTTGTTCATTGTCAAGGCCAGGCATCCTTCACTACCAAAGCTTTGGATGATCTGTGTTTCAGCCCCCAGGTATAAAATCTGCACAATCTATGAATGATCAAGTGAGGTTGTTCAGTTGTCTTTTGTTTAAGAATGCACTGAACTTTGGGCAACAGCATTTCATTGTTGTAATGAATAACTCCACTCATGTCTGATTCTGTACGTTTTTCAGTTTCCACATGTTCCTGCTTTTGTCATACTGTATTCTGTGTTCTGTCCATATATAGACAATAAGAATAAGGTTTTGTGTTAGGTGTGCCATAATAAAACACTAATTTCTGGATGTGTTCTTCTATGTTCTCTGGAAAAGCAATGATCTTGTAGCTTTCACAACAGCTAAAGAACATTCAGTTTTACACCACAACGGGCTTCTAAAATAAATATACATTATTTACAGATTTTCTCAAGATATACAGATTATCAAATATATAGTTTATCAAATCGAGATACTTTTGGATTTTGAGTATAACCCCTTAATGTAACATTCAATGACATTTGATATTATGGCTACATCCCAGTTTAAAGTTGAAAACGGACCTTAGTTATATAAAGCCTTTTTTTTTTCCGGCCTTTTTTAAAAAAAAGACTTAATTGTAATTAAGGTGTGTGCTGTGTCACAATGACACGTAGTTCATTTTCCTTAAAAGAAAGGGGTCTTATCTGTACACCTCGTGTGGTTTGACAGGAATCATTAGCAAAAGTAATTGTTGTCAAACAAACAAAAAATGAAAAGTTTGTCTTGTTTCTGGTGCTGTGGGATGACAGTAGTTGGGTCTGTGTTTGGCCCTGGCAGCTCTCCCTCCATCTTTCTCTGTCTCTCCTACTTGTTCCCAGTTCTGGTATTCAGCTGATGAACTAGAGAAAAGACCCTTTCTTTCTCTGATGAACAAAACTGACAATGCTGCTGTTTTGACACCTCATTTCTACAACTTATCTGTGCATGTACTCAATTTGTTTGTTTTCTTCACCAGTAGACTGAACAGATGCTAGCAGGGAAATATAAGCTAGCTCTGTGTGTGTGTGTGTGCATGTCTGTGTGTGTTCAAAGAGAGAGAGAGAGAAAGGTGATGTAGTTTAGAAATAAATAGAGGGAGAGGCTGGACTGTGAGCTAAGTATTTCATGTGTGATCAGTTACTTCTGAGCACTTAAGCTGCTCAGCATCAATAGAGACTGAAAGTGATAGGAAAAGGAGAAGAGCTGTTGCTTGTTAACAATATTGGAAGCCAGGTGTGACGCTAAACTTTGTTGCTGAAGGAGAATGTTTCGATGAGGAGCAGGGAGGACACTGAGCATCTGTGACAGACCTGACACAGAGGGAGTTGACTGTTGCCATGGGGGGCTCCTATAGTCACAACAGGAACGGCTCCATCAAAAGGTCTCCTCGGAAAAAAGGCAGCATGTAAGATAATATTTCTCATTGTTGGTGCTTTTATCATGGACTACAATAAGAGAGAGATCATGGCAGAGACTCTAATGTGGCTGAGAAGGTACTTTTGATCAGTTTTTAAACTCAAGATCATGTTGTTTTGTGTTTATGAACTTTCTGTACCCAGTGGGAGGAGTGACGGATTATGGGGAATTAAGGGATAAGGACTAGCATGTGTTGTAGAACACAATTAATAGCACTAATACCATCAGCACTGAGGTTACCAAGTAGAAAATCACGTAAGCCCCAAACACCTTGTGTTGTCTGTGGGTTGCCAGGTTTTATACTCATAAATGACTTTACCGGTGTCTAACTCCATAAGTCAATCAAGCTAAATAAACAAAAGGAATATCAGTGACGCGTTAGTTGTCTTAGAACAAGAGTTATATGTTGATGTGAACCGGTTTGTAGCCATGTCACCAAATTAAAGCATAATTAAAGTACCATGACACAAGAAACACTTTTTTTTTCAATATGCCAATGGTTTGGTTGTGTTATGTCCAGCCTAGATACTCCTTGGTCCCTAGGTAACTTGAGTATTTGTTGTGTAATTTAGCGGCTGAGCTAATACAATAAAAGCTAACACAATCTTCATGACTTGATCATGTCATGCTCCTGGAGTGGAGGAAAGGCATTGATCATGCATCTGTGACCCTACTTGTAAAGTGGTATTTTAATCATTCAAGCTGCCGTTCTTACTTTGTTTAGCAAATATATGGTGCTTTTTTTCATGACACAACGTAGGAAAAATAGAAATTCTGCATTTGGTTGAAGAACAAGACATGCTTGCTTCTCTCTGAAGCTCAGCACAGATCAGCACATTTGCATTAGTCAGGTCTGTCAGAGCTCAGTTAGATTATATGATTGGTTAGTGAGTCAAATGTTTTGGAGATAGAAGGGAGAATCCTGCTCTTTCGTGTTATTAAAGAGTCTCACAAAGTGCAAACACACTGTAGTCTTCTGCATACATCTGTGTTTGTGTAAGAGCAGATGGGGGGTTGGGCTCAGCCCTGTGGGAAAACTGGAAAGCCAGCTAGTGTCGTGGGATCCCAGCTTGTGATGTTAGATCTAATTTTACTTGACTTAATCTCTCCTCTCGGGGTCAGGGAGATCACTGGATCTACTGTTCCTCCTTAATATTTATACCTCATTCACTTGACTTGCATTTGGAGGTCATCAGCTGTTGTGAATGTGGATGTCTGCTGATAGACAAAAAGAACACATTTTATAAATGTTCATTGTAGCAACATTGCCTTTCTATGACAAAATGTTGTCAGTTAGAAAGACCACTTTAAAAAAGTACATTTTAAGCCAATATGGCAATAATTATTATTGTATTTCAAACTAAGATCAGAGGTAGAAATGTCAATGTCTTTCTGCCATTGTTGGACTATAACTGAAGAATGAGCTGTTTTGAATGGAAACTCAATCTTTTGTCAGTGAATATAACAGACAAAGAAAATGAATAGAGACATCATAAAGTAGAACATTTGGTAGGTGTGTCTTCTCTCTACTTTGTATGTGTGCGCGTGTGTCTTTGTCTGTGATACACTTCGTATGAACTTTTTGTCTGGGGTGAACACAGTGGTACACATCCCTGTGTACAATACTACTCTGCTCTCCTCCTCCTATCTTTCTCTTCTCTTACTATTTATTTATTTCTGTTGCGCTATTGTTAGTTTAGTTTACCTGGATAACTCTGGGTTATTTTTACATTTAACTATAGTGTAAACCAGGGGTGCCCACACTTTTTTTCGGCTTGGGAGCTACTTTTCAAATGACTGGGGTAAAGTGATCTACCTACATTTAAAAACTATAAATATATATATTTACTACTTTGATTAAATGGCTGTAGTTGTATGGCACAATACCGTCTGACTCAATACCTCTATGGTCCTTACTTGAGACCTAGTGATTAGCATCTTAAAATAGAATTAAATCCATCATTTTTATTTAGTTCTTGTTTCTGTAAATGTAAGTGCTCAGGATCCTTTGAGATCTACTGGTAGATCCTGATCTACCTTTTAGGCACACCTGGTATAAACTATATTATAAAGTATGATTTAATTTCCTTGCCATTTAAGTGCATCAGCTTCAATCTTATGGATAATATATTTCCATATATCACATTCTAACAATGTGTGCAGTTAATGATTAATTTTAAACAATTATTAATACTGAAGTGCTACAGCTTTAATTTGAAAAACTGTTGTGGTATACCTTATTTCCTTCTTTCTGTTTGTTTCTACCTTTTTTGTTCTACATTTGCGTCTGAGAACTGATTCTCAAAAATGTACCTGGTAAAATAAAGGGTTATTAGATAATTATTTTGACATTTGTAGTAGAATACTATAGTGAACACTAGATGGAGCTGTTGTGTAGGAAATCGTCACAGCTACGTATTATCTTTTAATTATCAGATTAATTTCACTCTGGGATGTTTTACTTTAAAGCCTGCATGATATATGATTAAATATATGTCTGAAATACACATATTTTATTCAAAGCAGTCATGGATTCCAGTTTGGCTTGATACATCTGTGCTAAAATCTGCACCACAACTATATCTATATATCTATATATCTATATATATATCTATATCTATATATCTATATATGTATATATATATATATATATATATATATATATAATATAATTATTTACGAGACAGCTCAGTTTTAAAGCTCTCGTTAGGACAGACATGGTCAGATATAGCAACATTTTAATCTGTTGAATGAAGACATGTCACTGAACACTGTGTGAGGTTTGTTTGTATAAAAGCTTGATCAGAGCTGTAATCCCAGTGACTGTGAAGTCTGATTACTGATGGCCATTGTTATGTTCAGTCTGGCTTCTCCTATTGATGTTTCCAGAAAAGTGTTTGATGCTAAGATTTTAACATACATTTATAATTGTATCTGTCTTTCTGTTTTCATAATGACAAGGCCATTATGAAAGTATTTAATAAAGTTCTCTACACATTGAAGACATTGTAAATGGAAAGAACCCACATTTCTCTTTTTCTTTTTTTTGTCATACTGTACCTACAGTCCCTGTTTGGAAACAAACAACAAATCATTACTAACTCAAATTACATTGAGACCAAGTTTCCCCACTCACAGTGGGCTGCCCTGTCACATCAGGAGTTTCAGAGTAAATATTTACCTTCATTTCTTCACTTCCTATGTCGACACAAATACCTGGTATTCTGTGGGCCTTGCTCTTTTTATGTCTTAAAACATGAAGCCTCACCTCTTGTCTCTCCATGTCTTTCTTCACAATCAACAAACACTCCAGCTGATCGTCCACCCAGACACAGGGCAGAGAGGGGAGGAGCAGAGAGAGGAGTGACTACTGATGCTCCTAGTCTGCACTGTATGTGTGAGTCAGTGCTATGGAGAGCAGAGCAGCCAGAGACACAGAAACGGCCACAAGGGCATGACACACGTTTCACTCCCACGAGCATTTGCAGGCCAGAAGAGCAGCATGGGAAGGCTGAAAAGCTGAGCAGGAAGTAACACAGGCAGAAAGAAGACAGATCAAAAGCCTATTCTTTGTAGACAGCATTTCTTCTTGGTGCTGTCGTAAATGGACCGAGGCCCTGACTAAACATTTTATTTGAACGCTACTTAATAAACCAATAGCAGAGTTGTTTAAGATCGGCTTCTGGCTCTGGGGTGACGTGCGGCAGTGATGTCTTGGTTGTCTCCAGTCCAGTGGGCCAAATGGACGTGGATAACAGTGACTGGAAGTCCAGGAGAGGAAGGGAAGAATGATGGGGAGGACAAGTAAGAGCTCCAGGACATTTCTGACAACATATATCGGTGTGTGTGTACGAGACACAGAATGACCAAGTAGTTGGTTTGACTCCTGCAGTGTTTGTGTTATGACTGCAGAGTCATAATGACAGGTGGTGGATATAAACAGACACACAAACTGATGGATACACTGCTATAATCTCAGATTCTTTCCTTATGCAGTCCAGACCAGTTGCTGTTGTCCTTGGCTAAAAGATTTGTTGTCATTTTTTTATATGGCTGTCTTTAAGAGAGTGCAACTGAAAAAGAGTGGGTGATTCTGGCAGATAGGAAACAGTTGCTCAAAGTTTGGGGAAGGTGTGTGTGTGAGACAGGTAGGGATGGGTGTGGGTTGGGGTATGTATATGAGGATTCGATGGTGGTATGGATGTTTGTGTGAACTGGTATCACAGAGATGGAGTGTGGTTGGATTATTAGCGAGCTTTGTTCTTCCCTCTGCTGTCTTTCATTAGTGTGAGGAGGTTTTGATGTGCATTCAAGTGGCTTGAACTCTCTCTCTCTCTCTTTCTCTCTCTCTCTCTCTCTCTCATTCATTCATTTTTCTCCTTAATGAATTGCCACAGTTTAAAAATAAATTTAGCCCAAGTGTCTGGGCACCTGACAGAGAAGAGTACTGTGTGTGTGTGTGGGTGTGTGTGTAAGCCTTAGTGAATGTTGTGGTACACAGTGTGTCCTCACTGAGTGGTAGAGGATGCAGGTGGCCTTGTAGGCCTTCACTCCCCTTTCTTTGACTTCCTTTGAAATGGAAGAAAAAAAAATCTTTCTTTTCTTTTCTTTTTTTTTTTTTTTGCTTTGAACTTCCATCCATTATTTTTATGTGGCTCTAAGAAAGCACATTGTTTCTTCTTTGAAAGCCAGTCTTTATTAAAAAGGGTTTGACAAAAGAAGAGCTGTTTTCATCTCAGTTTCAGTTTAATACAGTGGGTTGATGAAAAGATTATTTGCCATTTTCTTCATAAAGACAGAAGACAAATGATCAGAACAAATTGTTTTGTTAATTGTCCATGTTTTCACAGTTCTGACTCAGAGAGGACCTTTGACACTCCAGAGACTCAGTCTCCAGCTGTTGTCAATTTATTGAACCAACAGGAAAACTCCAACCAAACAGGTGAGACCAGTCCCCTTGATCCTACATCCTGTACTGACCTGGAGCTCTCCACTGTGTCATACATGAACAGTGATATGACCCTTTTCACCTATAGAAAGCCTATAAGTCAATTCTTAAGAGTAAAATTAGATGATAATATTTCAGTGGGGCAGATGGTGGGATTGGAAGAACATTGCTGCATTGGTTATGTTAGCTAATGATGCATTATAAAAGTCTAACTTTTTCACTAATGGAGGAGACTTGCTATCATAATTCAACTGACCGTTCATTTGGCCAAAGCATATGCTGTAGTAGACAAACACAATACCTGACTGGGACTTGGGATCAGTGACCCTAAGCTCTGTAGACATAAATTATAGCAATAATTCATTCTAATTATAATTTATTCAAAAGGAACCTCTCACCTTGAACTGACCCCTGAGCTGATACACCAGGGCTGACATCACTGAACACTGCTCCTAATCCTTCAGACTCACCATAGGTTTTCTTTTGTAGAAATGCTATGTCGTCTTGAAAGAGGAACAACATAATCAGACAGAAATACACTGTACACTTTATAGCATTGGAAAAACAGCATTATTTAAGCACTTTGTTTTATATATTTTTTTCTATAATGCCTGGATTAGAGGCATGCTTTTGAAGTCACAATGTTACAATTGGCACATGTTACAATTGGCACATGTCACATTGTATTGTATAGAGTATTTTTTGAGGCACTGCTTAAAATGCAGGCCTCAAAGCTTGTAGGACACCTTGGGCTATGTTGAATTGAATGTAGCGTTACTTATTCATGGTGACAGTATAACTGATCCTCTAACAATGGGCCTATATGCTGTTCTTCCATGTGTTCTGCCTGTTAGGTGTCCATGTCTTTAACCCTCTTTTGTGTCTGTGTGCTTTCTTGCACACAGACACAGGACCACATGCTATTACATGTTATGGTAATACATATATAAACAGTAATGTTTATAGGTTTACATTTGCTCAGTTGAGTGTGTGTGAATTGGACCCCAGCATATGGGATGCAGTGCCACGTTATAACAGTGAGATTAATGTTTGACAGTGAATTGTGTGTTCAGACAGTAAGTCTCCATTTCATGCTAAAACAGTCACGTGGTGGGGTCAAAACGTGGGTTAGTTTCATAAATTAAAGATGAACTGTGGGTAAACTGATAGTGAGATCCTTTATAATTAGACTGAAACTGCTCAAAGGGAAACTACTGCCTGTTCATGGGAACAACCACATGCCAAAATCTAAGATAGACAGCAGAAGACAACAGCGTATCTTACTTTCATAACATCTTCTGTTCTTAGTGCTGCTGTGTTGTCTCACTCACTTCCCCTTCTGTCTCTTTTTCCTCTTTTTGATTGAGCTGTAGAGCAGTAATAAAGCCTGGTACCTGACAAACAATGTGAGAATCTCTCACCCATCTGCTAGAGCATATGTGTCAAACTCAAGGCCTGGGGGCCAAATGCGGCCCGCCCAGCCCTTTTGTGTGGCCCGCGGGAGCTTAAATAGTTAATTTAATAAAGTCCATGCAGCAGTTTCTTAACCTGAGAACTCTTTTAAAATCTATTTTGTTTGTGTCTGAATGATTAGACACAAACAATTATCTTTAAATAAAGATTATCTTTAAATAAAGTAAATGGATATGACAGGATTTTAGTTTGAATGAAGTAAATTAGTAAAAATTAAGCACATTTTTTTTCAATGTGTTCCAATAGACCTATGGACCGGTACTGGTCCGCTGATCAATACAGTCTTCCAGTTACAACTGGCCCTTCAAGTGGAACTGTATTGTTGCTGTGGCTCCCGGTGAAAATGAGTTTGACACCCCTGCGCTGAAGGCACGGTGACTTCATTCAATTTGGCACAGTCAAACAGAGAAATAAACAGTGAGAGTCGTTGGTTCTTTGTGTGTGTGTGTGTGTGTGTGTGTTTGTGTGTGTGTTTGTGTTTTCAGTAACATCCTGTTTCAGTAGCAGTGTGACTCAGTTGTTGCTGTGGTCATTGGTTAGCTGTTAGAAAGATGTGTGTCCACAGGATGTAAGGCAGTGTGAGGGGAAGTCGGCAGCTAATTTAAATATTCCTCCAGGAGCAGGAAAAGGCCAAGGCTCCCAGGTTTATTCTCTAAGTGAGCAAACATCAGTGGACCACTGCACTAATGTGTCATTTTCATTGTTTGAAGATGAAAACAGTTAGACAAATGTCACTCTTTTAAAATATGAGTTTAAAAAAAACTTTTTTTTTCTTAAAAAAAAAAGAAGAGAAAACCCAGCAAACAGCATGTGGTGAACATGAAGGAGTTTAAGTAGAGGAAGAGGCAGATGCTAAGCTTTGGAGTCAGTAGACAGATGTTTGACTTCAGGTGGCCAAAAATAGCAAATTTAAATACTAGAAATAATGAAAACAGAAGTCTACAACTGCAATTATTGTCATCTTGTTATAGTGTATATGACTTGCCTCTCCTGTCTTTAAAATCCCACCAAAACTTTATTATTATTATTATTATTATTATTTTAGGTAATGATGGAAAACTCAACATGAGAGACTACCTGTTTCTTAATTTGGCATCAGCTTTTATTGCACTTAAAACATGCACACTCACACAACTTGCAGCTTGACTTGCTGCTTCTGTAAAGTTTCTTCTTTTTTTTTTAACATACTCATTTTTTCCAGTTGTAAAACTTTGATAGTTTGACAAAAGACATAGTAAAAATCTGTTTGTTTTCAACACATGGTGGTGTTAGTTAAGGCAACAGAGTTCTGACAATAGGCAACACCGTGAGATCATGTGGTCTATCATACACCAGATTGTAAAAACAGCTTATCTTTTCAACTGTGGCCTCTGAGTCTGCTTTAGTATAAAGTAATAAAGTAATTGCCATTGAAAATGAACCATTAATTTAATCATATAAATACCACTAAGAAATTAGTTCCATTAGTAGAAATATACAGACCACAAAATTAAAAAATATATTTATAAAATAATATTATTATCATTAAATATATAAATATTTATAATATTGTGTATTCTTTGATAGCTGTCCACACTCCACCACAAGGCCTTAAAGATTTGTCTCTTTTTGATCCAGTGCTAAACCAAACTGTTTTTCTCTCCTTTTCCAGACTCCAGCCCTGACTCCAGTGTAGTCTCTAGTTGTGATATTTCTGGGGATTCTGATTTGCTCAACGGGACTACAAACCCCCAGCTGTCAAATGAGAAACTGACCCCAGAGACCGACGGCGGAATCATCACGTAAGTGACAAGTGAACAGAGAAATGTACACAAGATTCATCATATCTCAGTCAACCTTATGTCAGTTAATGGTTACTTTTACTGCACTTGAATGACTGTTTTGAGACATCGATTTCCCGGAAGGAGTAACATAACTTTTGTCAAACCACGCCCTCCTGTGGCTGTGAGTCTAATTGAGTTTTAGATGGCGCAATCTACATACAAAACAGGGTATTATGCGCTTAAAAAACCCCAAACAAACTTAGATGTACTACAGTGTGCACAGAAAGAGGAGTGAAGCTCCTTCAACAGAAAGATCCATGTGGTCAAAAATGTGAAAAAAAAAACCAAAAAAAAAAACCGCACTGTCAAACTCTCACTGACTGGTGACGTAAGGAGGTATTTCACCACATTCTTCAATGTGTAGGAACACAATCTGTCCTTATGTCAAAACTGTGTCCTTCCCTTCTGTTTTCTGAATATATATATATATATATATATATATATATATACTTTTAACCAGTGCCATCACTGATCAGATCCTACTGTTGCAATGGGCATCATTATGAATTAAATTGTCCCACACAATACAGGGCAGTGGTGTCTGGTTGTGAATCTTCCTTTTTCCTTTTCGTTTTGGCTCCCATCACTGTCTTTATGAAAACACCTCCAGAGAAAAGAAATGTCTCAATTTTCTCATTTTCTATCCACAGAAACTCCTGTAATGTCAATCAGAATGGGCTTAAACAAAACAAAGTAAGTGTCAGTAATTAGTCTGAATGCTTGTTTAGTTATTAGTTAGCACTATTGTTAGCATCACTGGTTAATGACTATTTTTGTTACAAATTAAGGATGATCAACCAGGCGGCCTTGCCACAGATGAGGAGAAACTGGCCAGCAATGCAGGTAGGACCAGCATAAAATACATTTATATATATATATATATATATGTATGTGTATATATGTATACATGTGTGTGTGTATGTATATATATATATCTACTGTGTTTTGCTAAACCACTCATTTTCTCCTGTGGACAGAAATGACCTTAGTTAGTTTAAACAATAGCCTTCAGCCAGCAGCAATCAATCAGTCCCTGACTGTGAGAAGGTCAACTGTGCTTCACTGTTCTGAACTAATCACATTATCCATTCGCCTTGAATAACATTAGTCTGATGTTACAGAAAGCACAAACTACTATGGCGTCAATCATTAGATTTGTACATTTTACAAATCAGGAAAACAAGCATTTTAAAAAAAAAATAGCATACAGATTATTTTTGACATGTGTGTTGTGTTGTTGCAGGCCCAGAATGTCATGTGATGTCTAAACCTGAGGAGTCAGACTGCTGCTCTGTGGTAACTATTTATAGCTATTTTCCACTTACCTTGTCTATTTTCTGCCAAACTAATGTTAACACTTAAAACATAACAAAAACACCATTGTTGTCCATTCATGTCCTAATATGCACCGTGTGCAAAACTAAAATACAACATGAACCTGTCATATGCTCATGTGTTTCCAAAACTGGCGGCAAGATGGAGTCAAGTTGCTTGTTTTACGTTAAACCGTGCTTTTATTGTCATTAAGGAAACCGTTGAATTGTAACATTGTCTTAATGACATCATCAGTGACACCTTCAGCTCCGACTTTTCAACATTTTTACTGTAAATTAGAAACGGTGTTAAACGAGTTGTGCAGCTGGTAAATACTGGAAATGGAGAGAAACACATTTAATATACACACGCACACTATGTCGGCTTTTATTTGCAAATAAAGTCAAATGAAAGTAGTTTTGATCATAAAATAGTGTATACAGTGTGTGTGTTTAAAGTAATGTGGCAGGACTCTGTTTATTTCTGTTACCAGTATTTTGACACGTGCAAAATGATCAACAAGGCTCAGGGATGTGAGACGCAGAAAACAGGAAGTCAGGTCCAGGTCTCCCTCTGCATCAGTGAAGCTGAGAAGCAGGTTCAGTCTCTCAAAGATGAGGTACACACTAATATTGCACACATCATCAGTTGGAGTGTGTGTTTGTGATGTCACATGTACGACCCTCCTTTCAGATTGTCACCAAAGAGTTGGAGGTCAGCAAGTGGAAGAATAAGTATGAGGAGTCTAGACAAGAAGTCAGTGAGATGAGGTGAGAAAATATGGCACCAGTAAGAGTCATGTGACATTAGTACACAGCTGAGGGAATAAAGGTACATGTTTACGATTTAACATTTTATGGTTGAATATTTTTCCAATCACCAACAACCTGTTTTTTATTAATGTCATTAAGTTTTATTCCAACACTTTCTCTTTGGTTTACAGAATGGTAGTTGCAGAATTTGAGAACGCAATGACTCAGATGATCGGTGAATACAATACACTCAAAGAAATCTTTTTTTTTTTTTTTGGTCTGTGGGACGAAAAAGAAACATTTCTTTTTCATGTATTATAGCATTTAAATGATTTCTTTTGGATCTTATCAGATATTGATCAGCAAAGACGTATGGATTCTCAGAAGGCTTTGCAAGCACTTAAGGAGGAGAAGGAAACTGCTCTGAAAGATCTGAACTCAGTGGAGTGTTCTCTGTCTGAGTTGTTCCAACGTTATGAGAGCATGAGGAGATCCATAGATGGTTTCTTGAAAGTGAGGCATTGTAGGGCAGAAAAGCAAATACAGCATCCCTTGAATACAGCAGGATTCACCAGGAATCTTTGTGTCCTTCCTCAGAATGAAGCGCTTTTAAAGAAGTGTGCTGAGGACTGTGTGGCCTGGGTGAAAAAGGAGCAGGAGAGATACCACACTTTGAAACACTACGCTGAGGGGAAAATAGAAATGTATGGAAATATATTCAAATCAATCAATTTAAAGTTTTGTTTTTTTTATGAAACACGTGTTAATTTCTCAACATCCATCAGGGCCAATAAGGAGATCGCTCAGGTCCGTGCAAAGTTCTCTTCAGAGAAGATGGTGCTGACTACCAACCTGAGGCAGGAGCAGTTAAAGATCAATGTTCTGGAACAATCTATGCAGCAGAAGGTCAGAGAACTCATCTTAATTAATCTGCTGCTTTTATAGCACAGCATTTCTGAACAACCTAGCTTTGTTTTGGTAGGCTGACATCACGTTGTCTCCACACAGAAACAACACCTGTACATTTGTTGAGATTTGTGACTTCATGCTTCTGCCTTTATATGATGTACAGTAATTTATTTATTTTTTAAATATGACTTTTATTGTTGTTACAGAATAAAGTTGTGGAGGAGCTGACAAACATCTGTAATGAGCTCATCGCCAAGTTGGAAAACTCGTAGACTGTGCGTACAAACGACTGCAGTCACTTTGTGTATACTTTGATTGAACTACGTGAGACTAGACTAAACTGTAAATGTTGTAAATGTTGCACATTGCTGGTATTTGTAAATGTTCTCTCGTCACGTCATCGTTTGGTCATTGTTAGGTTTTCTGAATCTCTTGTGCTTCTGCTCACTATGCTGGCTAGCAACACTGCACTCATGACTGACCTTAAATTCCAAGCTGCTTAATGACTAAATTCCTCGCTAGTTCTCTTGCAGGATGACATCAGTCTTAATGCAGGCTGGGGTTAAGTCACTTTGTATTGATGTTTTGAGTGGCCTTTATGCCAGAATGTTTTTAATGTACAGTTTATTAAATGTATTTTTCTGTGATGTGGAGAAAAGATGTCATTATATGGAAGATGCTCAGGGCACTTTGTAGAAAAGACTGAAGCTGTGCTCACAGGCTAGAGCTCAACAAAGTTCTAGTTCATTTGAGTATGACCTCAAGCAGTTGAACAATTGTTTTGCCTCTTTTCGAGTTAATGTTGCATCTGTGACTCTTACACAATGTCCTCCACTAACTATCTGTATACTGTGTATATATATAAATAAATAAAGATGAATTTGTTACATTGTAGGTTGTGGAACATTATTGTTGTCTTAAAAACATGTCAGTATGTAAGGCTTAAGACTTATCATGGGTTGGGTCAAATAATATTTTCTGAAGGCTTTCTGAAACGTCTGATTTCACAACACAGGGCCCATGTTCTAGGTGGGTGTGTTAAACATGTTCCAGGGATGTAAAAGAAGTTTCTCTTTCATAAAGTGGGGTCAGTTTGTCTTCACTCTGACCCCATGAGGGCGCTCAAGTCTAGTGTTTTATCTTGTTTTAACCCTTCTGTTGTCCTCATATTCTGTATACACTCCCTGTCCTTTGGGTCAAAATGACCCGTCTTCACTAAACCCCCAATATAATCAGCTTAATTGAATTTTAAACACAAATTCCTATTTTGCTTGAAGAAACTTGTCATTCAGCACAAATTGTGTGAATACCTGAGTTTTCCCTCTTCACCTGGCAGAAAGACTGCATTTATTCAAGACACCACTCATTGCTATGACACTGTCAATTGTGTTATTGTTTACCGTGTAGGTAGAAAACAATATTTGCATAGTATTTCTATAGCTTGAGAAAGAATAGAAATGTGCAAAAAGAAGTTTGAATGCAGCCCTAATTAGGCATGCAGGTCAGTCACATCCATCCTTTTCCAGCTGTCCATATTTCCATATTTGCAAAAACCCCTCCAGGTTTGTCATCTCCAGGATTTTTTTTTCTATTGCTGGTGTGATGAACATGTAGATTGTTGAGACAATGTCATGGGCGTGAGAAACGGCATATCTTGTGGGTCCTGGGGTCATCCTCATTACATTTTGTTGTGCCACCCTGCCGTGTTTGTCATATGCTGCCAAGGACCATGTTATTTTGATGTTTTTTGAAAGGAAAGTCTCTCACACAGAGTCAGGGATTTCTTCTTCTTCTAAAGGTGATTTATTATGCTCTGGGTTGTATTTCTCCCCATCTTCTTCTGAAACAGGGAAGTCTTGGTGGACATCTGAAAAACTCAGCTCTAGAGCTCGGTCAACGTAATAACCTGCACTCATGGCTTCAGGACAGAGAGAATTCAGGGTACTGTCATCTGCAGCACCTTTATAGTATCTGGGAGTCCACACAGACAAAAGGGCAATATTGTTACATTTGGGTCAGATCGGCTCACAGGCAGTGCAGTCTGCGAGAAGACCACCTGTCTTGTCTGGTTTATGTCTGCTACTGATTGATCTAAGACAGAACTAAAACATTCTCACATTCTGTAGTGTGTCACTAACTGTGTGACTGTGATTTCAACTCAATTTGACTGTTGGGTCATTTTGACCCAAAGACAATATTTGTACCTTTTTTTTGTACAGCTTACATGGAAATATAAATAAAGGCGACAATTAACTTTTTTTAATGTTGGGGTCAATCTAGGAAACGTCATCAAATTTCAAGT